ATCGGAACTTGAGACAAATATTTTAATCCAAAGCCGCGATCTTTCCGATGCTTAATATATGCGACGATGAATTCCAGATCGTTAGGTTTTTCTTTTACCTTAGGAAACAGTAGCGGATTTACAGGCAGTGGGTCGACTCCCTGGCTATCCAAAGGGTCCACCCCCTTATGGTACTATTTTAAGACCTTCACTATTTTTGGCTAGCTGACACTAAAATTGCTTAAAGGCGCCTTTGGCGCCAATATATTATAATTTTTAGGGGGAGATTTTGTCAAACCTGTCCAAAAATTGTTAAAAACGCTGTTTTTGGCCTGTTTTTTCAAAAGGCAAATTTTTTGAAAATTCGCCTTCCCTCGAGCAAATCCTAGATCCGCCACTGTAAATAAGGTTTCATTTTTACACTAGCAAAGCGAGTGTATTAGTACGAACCTTTTTTTTCCAACCCAAGTCGCAAATGTTGGTGCCTTTTTTGGAGCACCTTTTCAGCTTTTTCATAGCATGGACTTTGAAATTCGAATAGTAATAAATTAACACAGTTGATGCATTTTAATTCATTAATTGAACTGAAAGAAGTGAATTGTTTCAAAGAACATTACTAAAGTAAAAACTCGATTTCAGAAAGATTTTTCAACTACATATCTCGCTATTTTTTGATATGCATAATTTATACATATTGTGGCTTTATGCTTCGCGATTTGTTACATGCAAAGTTAGTGTGGATAATCTAATTTATTACTTGCAAAAGTAAGTCTATTTGTATTTGGTGCCACTTTTGCTGAATCGCATTGAAAATTTATTTGCGTATGATAGCTGCTTTCTTCGTTACCAGTGTTTGTCGGTTGTTAAGCTTGCGTGGCTGAGTGGATAGTGCGTGAGACTCAACATGTCTTGATTGCAGTAGGGCGCATATCGAATCCTAGACCTTGCCGAGTTTTTGCTAATTGGAAGCTAATTTCTATTTTTTATGCAGTTTCTAGAGCTGCTTTTTGGTCGTGCTCTCGCAAGTGTTTGCGAAGGGCAGCTCTAAATCTGTAAAAAAAATTCATCTGATAAAATCAACAATATACTTACTTTTTCTTATTACATATAAGCATGTCTTTGTTGTGCTCTTGTTGAGTTTTTGTTGTTTACATTGAAGGCATATTATTTTCGGTCAAGTTTCAGAAAAAATTTTTTCTGCCCACAAAAGGTTCAAGAGTAGATGTGAACAATCAGCGACCAAGTTCACTTCTGAAATTGTTGAGGAAAATGTAAGAAGGCTTTCTGTACAATCGAAAATATCTTTAGGTATTCTATACTGTAAACAATAGATTTTGAACGAGTCGCATTATCATAGCTGCTCTTGCCGAAATAACTGACCTTTTTCGCAATGATAAGTCTTCAAAACCAAATTGTACACCTTAAATAACATTTATGAACGGCTAATTTATGTTTCTTGAAATTTTGTAAAATCTTTTTAAGAAATTTCTATAAAAAAAATTTTTCGACTCAACTGTTGTCTGCTCTAATTTTATCGGATTTGTTTCCGCTTCATGGTTCATTGCTAATTTAAAATTCAAATGTCTTGCTTAGCGTGTTTGCCTAAAGTTCCTGTTTGATAATGATCAAAATGTATGGGATTGGGGTTCTCTGTTTTATTTTTTTTTGAGTAGCTTTCGATTTTTTTTTAAAACTGCTGTCCATTTTTCAAAAAAGGGGTATCAATGCAAAAACTGCCTACTTCCTTGTGTGCCTGCATACTTCACTTATTTACTTTTACTTTCCCTTCTGTCTACAGCCTTCGAAAAATCTGTGGAGGTAAAATTTGACCCATGTTTCAGTTTCCATTATTAGAACCAATTGGCAAAGCTCCCCTGCATAAGCGGCTGTGCTCAAATTTTTCTACACAAAGTTATGACCCTTCGGTCGGAATATTTTAAATTTTGATTTTTTCGACGGCTTTTGAATCCTTCGACTTCTCTCGAAAACTTATCTCCCAAATCTTAACATAAAAAGTTTTAGCCATAGGAAAAGTCAGATTTTGGATTTTTTACCGTTTTTTTAAACATTGAATTTTGGGTTTTATGAAGAGAACGCTTTGTAGCAAGCTCCCCTGTAAAAGCAGCTAGGCCCAAATTTTTTGACATGTAAAGTTATCGTCATCGGAAAAGTCAAAATTTTCTTTTTTTTTACCTCTCTCGAGAACTACTTTCTCATATATGAGTTTTTGGGTTCAACTGAAAAGACAGGTTGCGTGAATGTTTTCTGAATAAGCGGCTGCACCCAATTTTTTTAATGCAAAATACTATGATTCTCGGAAATGTCAAGTTTTTTTTATTTGTTGACAGTTTTTTTTTTACTTATCTTGATAGCTATCGGGTCAAATCTGATATCATAGGTTGTTGGAGCCTGTCTGCATAAACGGCAACTCCCATTTTTTTTCAGAAAAGTGTTCGGTCGTTCTCAATCTTTTCGTCCTCAGTTTTATTTTTAGCATCATCGCCCTTTTGACCATCTTTATTGGCCCCAGACGGGCTTTGCACGGTAAACTCAAACATAACATCTTTGACCAACTGCCATCAATTTTTAGCACATACTTTAACCTCGTTCTTTATGTTCAAAAAAATTATACAAATTAGAATAAGTCAAAAGACGTAAAATTATCCTGCCAGAACCAATTAAAGACGCAAAATTATCGGAGTCTTATCGCCCAGTCTCCATTATAAGCCCAATAATGAATTTTTATAGAATTTTTATTCCATATTGCTCTTACAAAGAAAAGCCCTGAAGCTGACCATCAGCACGGCTTTCGTTTCCTCCACTCCACCACTTCAGCTTTATCAACCCTTGAACTTTTTATCAGCAACGGTTTCAATCAACATCGACAAATTGAACGTACTGTGCGGGCTACGTGTGATTTATCCAAAGTATTTGATTTGGTCTGCCATCCAACCTTACTGGAACTTATTCATGGCACCACTATGCCAGATAATTTAACTAAATGGCTTGTAAATTATCTGAGCGGCAGGCAAGCCAAAACATAATTTAGGGGCGCCTTGTCTTCATTTCGGATCGTACGTATAGGTGTCCCCTGAGGTTCTGTCATCAAATCGTCCAATCACGCGACATAAAACATGCCTCTGTTACTTTGACTAATTATTTTAACTCATTGCAAGACTTTAATAGTGTATCGCTCGAATGTTCCTCCACAAAGGCCCTGTAAGTCTTTTTACATCGCAAAACATAGAGTTTAGCTCTGACCCCAAGTTTACGTGTGAAAGACTATTGCCGGTCGCAGAGCTTCGCAAATTTCTTCGTGTTTTTAACCCTTTTCTATTTTTGCCAAACATTGCTAGCGCACAGCAAGCAACGCCATTCGCAGGATATCGTTCCTGAAGGCGCTGTCTGGTTCAAACTGGGGTCCGTCGAAAGAGGCTTAATCAGACCAAACTTGGACCACGCCTGTCCAGCTTCGTCTCACCCTGCGAGTGATTCATTCATAAAATGCAAATTGCAGCTATGCGGATTTGACTGGGTGTACAACGAAGAGCGCCCTTGACCACTTAAATTCAAAGCTCAACTACTTTTTGTCAAAAATCACCACAAACTACCTGTCTTTCAATTCGGCCTCAGGACCTACATAGCAATAAGCCCCTCCAGTTTTACTATACTCACCCCGACCGACCGCCTGGAATGCTTGAAATCTTAAATTCTAATAAAGAGGAGCTTGAACTAATTTTATAAGAAGCAATTGAGTGTGACTCCTTCAACGATTTAAACCACTTAAGAGCGTTCATAAACAGCAGTTTTAAAATTCTTGTGAGAAAAATTCACACCAACTGAGTCCAGGAAGCCATATACGAAACTACCGCCCAACTTTTTTCCCCTCAAAACCCCAGAAGTTTCAAAAACTGAGAAACGACCTTCCCTAGCTCGACTAGGCGCACCCTCGTCCAAGTAAGATCAGGATACAGCCTCTACCTAAATACTTATATGAATAGGATAGACCTAAATGTCCCTTCATACAGTTCCTTCTGCCCTGCTCCCCATTCTGCGTAAAACCTATTTAACTGTCCTCAAATTAGAACAAACTTGACCCCAATCGAGTTTTATCTCCGGCCGACGGAGATTGCATTGTTCCTTGAACTCGGCGAGAGCATGCCTGACGCGCCCCTAAACATCATGCTAAAACAGCAATAACATTACACTGAGACCCCTCCAACCGTGATCGAAGAGGTTTTTCAGCAAACGGCTTTCATGTTGAGAGACGTGTGCCTTATCCACTCAGCCACTCAAGTTAGGACCTGTTCTCGCCGTTGAAAAACTTTCCTATTTAAAAAAAATTGTTTGTTTTTCCTATTTTCTGTCAGCTTGGTTGCCACAGCACGGGTTTCTCATGATTTAAAGAAATTTTTTCTTTTTTCGTAAAATCATCTCCTATATTGGTAAATGACTTATGAGCTATTTAGCTGAAATAAAAAAATTATGTATACTTTTTTGCTTTATGATTTTTTTTGGTGCAATTTTTTGTGTTTTGCCTTTTGTTTTTCCTCTGAAACAATCTTTGCCCTGATACGAGCAGTCTTGACAATATTAGTGGCCTGATTGTTTTCACCTTAGACAATTCGCGCATTCTGGTTTTGATTCGTTCAATATTGTTAATAATAGTTGATGATAGGATAAAAATAGTAAATTGAATCAAATTCAAGCTGTCTAACATGTAATGTCATTTAAAGCATTTGAGATATTTAAGACTCGCCTTTAACGCATTTAAGAATGTTTTTAACCGCGTTTTTCCTGCAACTAGTTTTGTCCTTGGTTTGCTGACAATTGGTTGGAACCAGTTTATACACCGTGTGATATTTCTGGAACAGTCTTTCTCAGACTTAAGTTAAAGTTGTAAAATGGTTGCATCCAATTAAGCGCTTGTCTATAATCAAACGTAACTGATTTTATTTCTTCCTGTTTTTAAAATTTTACTTAATCATCGTTCGTCAGTTGTGTACATACTTAAATGTTCGATAACTACTGAGCAAATTGTTATTTTTCAGATTTAATGATGTGTATAACCAAGGAAGCTCCTGAACGTATTTTTTGTGTTACTTTGTTTAAAACTTGACCTTGTTACCATGTCTTCAAAGCTTCTGAAATGTAGAAATTTAGTAAAAGTATCTTACTTTGGAAACCGATTAGCTGTTCCAATTTTCAGATATAAAACTACAGTTTCAGCTTCCCCTAATGTTGAAAAGAACAAATATAAATCCCCAACTGCTGAATTGTCCAAAACAGGGACTACATTGCGAGTTTTTAAAGAGAAAACTACACCTGAAATTGTATCAGCTTACTTAGTATTCAAGTTGTGCAAAATTAGATTCCTGGTCACAAATAATGAAAAACTGATGAAACTTGGTTACTCAGTTTTGGGTTCGAAATTGTTTGAAAAGTTGATGAAAGTGACTTTTTACGGCCACTTTGTGGGAGGTGAAAATGCAGAGGCGCTGAGACCTCTGATTAGTCGTCTTGAGGCAAACGGAATAGGTGCTATTCTGGATTATGCGGTTGAGAAAGATATTTCTCATGACGCGGCTGTCGAAGCTGAAATGGAATCTTCATTAGCTGAGCAAGAAAAATCTGAAAACACTGGCAGCTTTAGCGTGAAGCACAGTTTGGCACCAGAGGATCAAGAAGAACTTCTGAGTCGCCAGCCACAGTTTTTGGCACATGAAAGCTTCGGCGACCGAAGACAAGATGTAATCAGTGCTAAAACGTACTTTTATGAAGATGAGCGCTCCTGTGACAAAAACGTTGAGATTTTCTTGCAGTGTATCGAAACTGCTTCAAAGTGCGGAGCCTCAGAGGGCTTTGCTGCAATTAAATTGACCAGTCTAGGAAGACCACAGTTCTTGATGGAGCTATCAGAAGTACTGACTAGAACGAGAGAGTTCTTTGATCAAATCAGTGACTCATACCCCGGTGATGTCTTGAAGAGAAGTGTTTCCCAGAATCAGTTCTCTACCGGACTTAGCAAAATGGGTATTGAAGTTTCAATCGATGAAGCAAATAACTGGTTCACGTTCCTAGACGCCAATAAAGACGGAACTTTTGATTTATTGGACTGGACCGAGCTAGTTCACCGTGATAGATCGTTCTCGAAAGTCCTGGTCGCACCAGATCCTGAAACTGGCGAAGTGAAACCGATCCTGAATCACCTGAGTAGCAGTGAAGAAGTTCAAATGAAAAACATGTTGCAGAGATTGGACCTTCTAGCTAAAACAGCGAAAGAACTTGACGTGAAGTTAATGATTGATGCTGAACAGACTTATTTTCAGCCCGCAATTAGTCGCTTGGCGATGGAGTTGATGAAAGTGTACAATGTTGAGAGACCGATCATTTTCAATACTTATCAGTGCTACCTCAAAGAGGCGTTCAACAATATGTCAGTTGATATGGGGTTTGCCCAACGCGAAGGGTTCTATTTTGGCGCTAAATTAGTTCGCGGCGCGTACATGGACTTTGAGAGAAAGCGTGCGAAAGAAATAGGATACGCGGACCCCATTAATTCGACGTACGAGGCTACTACACGGCTGTACGAACGTGTGGTGGGCGAATGTCTTGATGAAATCTCTGCTGGCAAAAAGGTGGCAATGATGGTGGCCTCTCATAACGAGGATTCGATTGAGTTCACAACGGAGCGAATGAAGCAGCTTGGAATAAAGAAGCAGGACAAACAAGTGTACTTTGGACAACTTCTGGGCATGTGTGACAGACTGTCGTTTAAACTGGGCCTGGAAGGTTATCCAGTGTACAAGTATGTGCCCTTCGGTCCAGTGAAAGAAGTTCTACCCTATCTGTCGAGACGTGCTTATGAGAACTCGTCGCTGCTGAGCAATACACAGAAAGAGGCGAAACTGTTAAAAGATGAACTGAAATATAGACTAAAAGGACTTCAGTGAATTTTCATTTGTGATGATAATGCTGTAATATAGAAAAATTGGTCCGGCTCTTTTCTGTCTCTACGGACATTGTGTACAAAATTGTTTTCTTAATTAAACTATAATTACTAAATAAGGGATGAAAAGACTTAACAAATTGTTTTTTGGTCAATTTTTAGTTGCAATAGGCATTCAACATTTTCATTACTCAAGTGTTAGCTGTAACCTGTACCGGATAAGCTAATTTAGAAAGTGATGCAAAAAGAGCAATAGAGTCTCTGATAAAATAATTAGTGATGCTGCAAAATTTCCATGAAACTGAGGGTTGGTTTTCATAGATCCTAAAAAGGAACACCAGTTCCATAAACCAAAAAAAGCTGTCATAAGTTCCAAAAACTATTCTTCCAAAAAAGATCAAAAACTACTAAGCTTTGTAAAAATTCGAGCATTGGTTACCCGAATTTCTGGAACGGTCGTTTGAATAAAATCGATTTCGAGAAATTGAATAAGAACATAGTTATTCCGCAATAGTTATTCAATAAGGCGATTCTTTTCTAGAGGTACTATAGTTATCTGGGAGTGGTTTTCCTGAACTATTATTACTGTGAATGTTTTTGTTTGTTAAATTCTAGTCTTTTTTGTGTACTGATAAAATTTATTTTTTGGTTCTCTATATTTCTGTGGTTTGTTCTGATTATCTTGTTGTTTTTGTCTACATTCAGCGATGATATGTCTATGACTACGGCAATAGTTACACCACTTTTTGAATGATGGTTTACCCCAAAAATTTGGGGTTTTCGCGTAAATATATAAAATTTGAGTGATTTTTTCAGCTAGTTCAGTGTCGGAGTCAACAATGTTATTTAATTGTGAAGTAGTTGTATGGATGTTGTTTACGTATTGTAATTTTAAATTTTCTGTTTCTTCCCATTTCATAGTGATTTCAACTTCTTCTAGTTTGTCTACTAGTTTTCGGAAATCCATATTAGGTTCTTGAATTGAAGATGGATGTGAAGCTCTCTTTTTTATCGCTACTTTGGTAATTGTGCTGTTGGAGTCATCATTACGACTTCTGTCATTTTTGTATTTTTATAATCATGCGTATTAAAGGAAAATGCTTTTCTCACGAATATTTCAATTCTTACTGCAAATTGTTTTATTAGTGAGTCTACGGATTTCGTTGCATAGAACTCTTTGATGTTGTGTATTTTTTTCAGAGTCGAACATTTTTGAAAATTCTTGTGTGAATCTTTTCCAGTCTGATTTAATGTCTATAGGCAAAACTGAAACCATTTTTGGGCTGCGCTATCAAGTGTGGTCTGGATTAGAGCTGTGTCTCTATCTTTCCAATTTTGATGAAGTGGCGTATTTACTGGTCAGGTCCTATATTTAACAAGTTAGCTGTGACTGCGTTCAAATAATCTTCTTCTGAGTATTCAGGATCTGTTCCTCTAAATACCACTAGTGGTTTATTAGTAGATATAGAAGATCCACCCATAAGGTATGGATTCATAGTCATTTGTAGTGATTCTGCGGCATTTGGTATTTGAGAAAATGTGTAAGTTGTGTTTTTTGTAATTTCATGTAGATAAAATGGTAATGGGATTTCGTTTTGCGTTTCAGTTGGTTAATAACTTTGTGTATTTGTTGATTTTTGTGAATGAAAGTTATTATTATATGATGCTGAGTTTTGTCTTGTTTGTCATGGTTGATCAAAATTCTAATTATTGCTTTGTTGATTTGTGCTAAATCGTTGTTGATTTTGGCTATAATAATCTTTATCTTCTAAATAATCTGGTTGATTCCTTGTAAGATGTTTATTAGTCATGTTTTTACTTTGTTCGAAGAACGGATAGTATTCGCTACGATCCACTGTAGCTCGTGGTTGATCGTTGAAAAATACTTACTGAGAGGCTTGTTGTGATACTTTGTGATTCCAGTTTTGTGCTTGTGATTGATTTTGACTGTTCATATAGGAGGTTTTGTCATTTTTTTTTGCAAAAAAGTTGTAGTTATGATCTGAAAAAGTGTTTCTATTAGACGTTTTTTGTTTACTTGCTTGTCGTGATGTCGTTGCTGGCCTAAATATTTGATAATCCATTTGTGAGTATTTTTGAGTAACAGAAGGTTTTACTGTAGATTGTATAGTTGTTTGTGGAAATGCGGTATTTTTGTTTTGTGGAATTGTAAGTGTAGGATGGATGGGGAAATGCTTTGTTGTGTTGTTGTTGGCATTGTTTCAACTATTTTTTCATTAATGAAATGCGATGGGGTTTGAAAATTTTGTTGTGTACCATTTTTTTTTCAATTTGAATTTTCTTGTGTATTGATGAATGTGGAGTTTAAACTATTATTTCGTGTTCAATCAGTAAACATTGCAGTATAATTTAACGGTGTTGCATCAACAGTAAAAGGAGTTATTCTAACATAGTCTTCATCTACAGTGATTGCTGTTATGGACAAAAAATCATTTAGAAACCATGCTAAGATTCTTTGTAAATCATGTTTGACATTTTGTGAGATTTCGTTACTAAATTTCTTGTCTTACAGTTGAGTGTCGAAATTATTGAGGCGGTGACTCATTTTGTGTTTCGTTTAATTCTAATATAGAGAGATAGCTATAAATGAATGAAAAAATATCATTCGTGAATATTGAATTTGCTCTTTGTGAATTTTGGTGTTGTTTATTTTTATATAGTCTGTTCTGTGAAAACTTTATCTTTATCATCTATCTATATTTGATATGTATTCTATATCTATATCATCTGTTTGTATTTGATATGTAGGGTGATTTGATTGTGGTGATTGGCTTCGATTGTGAAAATACCGTAATATGATGTTATATTACATATACCTTTGAGATAGTGGTCAAGGATTTGTCGTTTTATTCTTATTTCAGAAAATTCTTGTTTATATGGGCTATTTCCTTTTTCGAATAAATTTACAATTAAGTTGTGACAAAATTGTACTTGTCTTCGGGCGTGATCACTTTGTGGTTGTATGAAAAATGAAAGCATCGAGTTATCATTGAGGTTTTCGTTTTTTTTTGGATCATTTTTTATATTGTAGAACTGTTAAAGTGTAACATTCAATATGCCTTATTGGTTGGTTCCAATTATATAGGCGTAATTATATAGGCAAAAAAAATCATTTATAAACCATGCTAAGATTCTTTGTAAATCATGTTTGACATTTTGTGAGATTTCGTTACTAAATTTCTTGTCTTACAGTTGAGTGTCGAAATGATTGAGGCGGTGACTCATTTTGTGTTTTTGTTTTAATTCTAATATAGAGAGATAGCTATAAATAAATGAAAAAATATCATTCGTGAATATTGAATTTGCTCTTTGTGAATTTTGGTGTTGTTTATTTTTATATAGTCTGTTCTGTTAATATATGACTTTTTTATTCTGCGTTTTTCTTTAATTGATGATGGTGTTGTAGCTTCTGAGTCGGAAAAATATATTTGGTCTCCTGTTGGGTTATTCTTGTTTATTGAATCTTTCAAGTCTTGAAGTTCCTGTATTGTGTTTGTTTCTGATTCTGAGACTGCGTTTCATCTTTTTAAAAATCTTTTTTTGATTTTTTGCTTTTGTAATTGTCTTTTTTTTCGTGTTTTTTTTTTGACTTACTATACCCTATTGTTTGTCTGTGCGGGGTGATTACAAGATCATATCTGTCGTTTTTAATTAAACAATTATGTAATATGATTGTTTGTTTACTGCCTAGATTATCTCTTGATATAAGGTTTAGGATGATGGATGCAATACTTGGGGTTAGAGTTTTTATTTTCCTAACAGTTAGTTCTTTTGGTTGACGGGTTTGAGAGAGAGAGAGTATATCAATTCGTGAGAATGATTTATTACTTTCTCGTGACTAGGTTTTAATTTATGAATTACTTAATTAATTTTACCTAGGGGTTGTGATTTGTGATCAAGGGTTGGTTGGAGAATAGTAAATCAACCCACAAGGTTCAGGTGTAATTAGAACACAGGTAGATCGTCAGGTACTTTTTTATGACTTACTAATATTTTAAGGTTTTAGCCTGGGTCAACTAAGAGGAAAGGCTCAAGTGAAGGATGAGTAACCGCAAATCTTCACTGTCTATCTTAATTAAAATGGTTAGTTTTTCAAAAATTTCTATTTGTCCTGGGTCGTTTATAAGAGTTGGGGAGTGAATCGACGTTTCAGGTCGTTAGACAGTTTTTTTAAATTATGGGATGGGGAGAACAAAACTGTTTTGATTTGATCCAAGGGAAGCCTTAATGATCAGTAATTAAATAAGATATTTTTAGTTTTAAGTGAAAATAAAGATCCAAGGAAAGCCTTGATGATCTGTTTGTGAAACAAATGTGAATTATGGAAAAGCATAGATGAGTTTTGATAAGTTTTAATGTGAGGTGTAAGAAGATTACAAGTTAATGTTTAGATGATAATAGTTTTTCGAATTGCTGTTACGTTTTAGGTGATGAAGCTGAGATGAGAAAAAGATGATGTCTGTGAATTCATGAAACTAATAATGAATTTTATTACTAATTAATATTTGTACTTTTTTATTCAATAATTTATTTATGCAAAAGTTTTGATTTACTGCAGATTTTGGGGGAAACGACTTGTGTTCTTTTTATCAGTCCTGATTGTTTGAATAGTAGGCTTATCACCAAATGGGTTGTTGAAGAGTTATTATTCAAATAACTTTCATGTCAATAAATGAAAATTTAAATTTGCTGCATGAAGTATTCAAATTAGAAGAACCTGTTCCGGTTTCGGTCGTACTATCATGCAGTAGATTGGCCCATTTCCTGATCGTTGTTCACGGCTTGATCTTGGTCTTCTTGCAATATCTAGTATTTCTTGTATAGTTTGAAAATTTGGCGTAGATTTATTGAGACGTAGAGACATTTCTATTAAAATGTCTATTTCATCTAACATTTTTGCCATTTTGCAATTGCCTAGTTCGAAGTTTTATTGTCCAATTCTAATTTAGTCAAGGTCTTGTTTGAGGCTTTTGGTCAAACCAGATGAGTTAAGACCTTTGGCCTGTACTCATAGAGTAATTTCAGATAAGGAACACCGTCTGTTCGTTACGCTGTCTTTTTTTTGGTCGGATAGATTCGTGCAACTTCTTAGTCTAATACCGATCTTAATCTTACACGTAAATCTTACACGTGA